TCCTTTCGTCTCTAGAAAATATGGATTGTCTATCTCCTAACTTAGCATATCGACACTGATGATCAGTCACTAATCTAAGCTAAACAATAGTGCAGAATCTACCCATTGGCAGTACTCCTATGGGTCCTAGTCATCTATTTAGTTGAGGTTAGGTTCACAATCACGGGAAAGAAGGTCCTGCGGCCACTTTTTTTTATTCGGCCATGTTGTGGTTGGAAGGAATTGGAAGGAATCAGAGTATTTGAGGATTTATGGTGGTTGGGAGGTCAAAATGGCAATAACGGGGGTGGAATACATCTTGGACAAAAGAAGTATTTAGGTGGTTTCGTTGGGCACATAAAAGAAGGCATCAAGAATTTTTCTGAGGATTATGAAATTGGATATTGGAAAGTTTGCCTGATCCCTACCTCTTGCAGTTTAAATCGTGGTGATTCCATGTTGGAGTTTGTCAGTATGCATGACTAGGTGCCACACCGGAGGAGGGATCTTTTTGTGGAGAGATGTAAATAAGCGATTGCTGTCGATTACGTCGTCAATGACTTTTTTATTAAAGTTTTTACGTTTTTACCCCTCGAAGAATCTTGTCTCTTCACTCAGGATATATTCACAATATAATGTTTTCTTGCTTCCGAATATGTACAGCGTTTATCCTACTCCAGAAAAATCATACAGACTAAAGGCTAAAAAAATAAAACCATGCTTAAATAATTAAGTTACGTATAAACAAACCACATTTGAACAATAACATTCATTATTTTTCTGATTCACTTCTACCGGGTTAAACGGGCTATCTCAACGTTCTATTTCCCCTGAACGCTTCGGTTAGCAAGTACAAACACTTTTCTTATGCAGGCCAGTGTGAAAACTGGCACGTCGGCACGGGTCTTGCTATAATTATTCTTATTGTTAAATTATGAATTATATCTGGAACGTATCGATTATTCTATATCGTTTTTTATTGGCGTTATGAACTATGCATATTAGCCATGTGACAATTCGTATATGTGTGTTCAAATGGGGGGGGGGGTTATTGTGAAAAAAGGGCCAGAGGCGACGGTGGGAATCGAACCCACGACCGCGGCGTGAGAGTCTGTTCTATATCGTTGCTTTGTTATTATTGCATAACCATAAATAATATCAATTCATTTAGTTGTTACTTGTATGAACTCATTACTAAACCTTATTTGACTATTCTATTTTTTTTTTACTTGGCCATTTTGATAAAGCAACACAGTGCTAATTGTAATTTACAAATAAATGTCTGATTTTTGATATAGAGACACAAAATAAATCAATGCCATTACAGTTTGCAAGACGAAAGCTCGTTCAATAGGGGCACAATAGAAATAGTTACAATACAATTAATTAAAGTTTTTAGTTGAGATAAAAAAATCAGTGTCACGAGCGGGATTCGAACCCACGACCTTCGGCTAGATACGCTGCTACTCGTCTGACAGTCTTGTCTCGCCCTGTTTATAACCGTGACGTTAATACAACAACGAAAATGTCCGGGCACACTTGTCGGCCACCTTTTGCGAATTGGCGTTGGCTAATTGTCCTAGCTCTCCTCCGGACGTTTCACTTCTTTCCGCGCACCACTCTAATCAAATTTACGTGCGAGTTTCCCTCACGACCACGATCGATAGTCGCACGTTTCCTTTCCAAGCTAATAACGAAAATATCGTTTAAATATGCTAACAGGTTTTTGTATAAGCTCCCTATAAATATCCAGAGTTGATATTCGAGGGATAAGAACCAAGCACTATTTTAAATAAATACCATACGGTTAACAAATTTTACAAACTCTTTGAATTTTTGGTTGAAAAACAACTTAATTGAGAAAATATTGCATAGCTATGATACAAAAATTAAATTAAATCCTTTGTTGAACTTTTACAATTTCCAAGCTCCATCAAAAAGTAAGTAAAAAAAGATAAACATTGGCTATTTAACTAATAAATGTATTATAAAGGTTTTTAGTTGAGATAAAAAGTCAGTGGCACGAGCGAGATTCGAACCCACGATCTTAGGCTTTATACGCCGCTGCTCTACCACTTGAGCTATCGTGACCTCAAGCAGCGGCGTATCAAGCCGAAGAGCGTGGGTTCGAATCTCGCTCGTGCCACTGACTTTTTATCTCAACTAAAAACCTTAATTAATTGTAGTATACTAATTGGTCAAGCGGACCACGAAATTAGTGAATTTAAGTATTATAAAGGGTTAGTGGGTTTGCTACATGCCCAAGCTCACAAGTGATTTAGGCTCATCTTGTCTGAGGCCTCTGGGTTGAGTGTACCACTTTTCGTTTGGTCCAAGAAGGTTGATCTTCGTCTTGATGATAGTATGTCGGTGAATCTGCAGGTAGTTACATTCCAGCAAGTCCGTCAAGTATATAAGTAAGCCAGCTTTGAACAATCGCTTACAATATCTGACCCCAGTGCCATAGGCCATTATTTGTTCATTTATGAAATCTGTATCTATTTATATTACTTTTAGTACAAGCAGTTCATGGGCCTAAAAATCTTGCAGTAGCTCTTGTTTAAACGATGTGCACCTAAGAAGCAAAGAATATTTGTAATAAAAACTATAGAATTTACAGTTTTTGACACGTCTTTCCATATTTGTTCACATTGAGAATTTCTTTGCTAGAAAAATAAATAATCGTACACCATGGCATAAAAAATAAATTAAGCCTTTTTTTATATTTCCCTGTATCCCGTAATACAATAAAATCAGCAATTTTATGATTTTTTTGGGGTATGTATTTCCATCAGCCATGTTTTGTCAAATTAGTTAGTGGATATGTGCTATATATAATGTATAAATTTGACATAATTATCCATCTCCTTAAACCTCCAGACTGTATTTATTTAAAAACTCCGCTATCGGACTGAATATTTGCATGTTTCCTGATGATATGAGTGTGTCAAAATTAAAAGGCCTCTGCAAGGCCATATGTCTACTTTTTGTAGAAATTACCCTCTGAATTCTTCCTGACACTCCAGGAACCAATGGGGGGGCGTCCTCTTTTACATCGTACGTATCACAATTAAATGTGTCTCTTTTACCTATTCTGAAGAGGTAAGCCCCGCAAATGTAGTGGTTTATTCTCAACCTGCTGATTGAGCTATAGAATACTTTGTTCCTACCTTCTTTAGCATACCAGGCATTATTCTTCTGCGGTGTTGGAAACAAGGACTCGTTTTCCTTACTTATTTTTAATTACATCCTGTGAACAACATATATTCCTCCCACTTGGAAATTTTCCACAATAATTCTTTTTTCATAAACCAACCAAACCTGTCAATACTCCTACCAACCTGTTCCTACTGTCCTATCTGTCTCCTTCCTGTAATGAGTAAATTTCTCTAGAAACTGCTGTTTAAACGCCTATACCCTGTCATCCCGAGAAGCTATTTCGAGTCACCAGTTTTAGGTCCCTATACTACAACTCATCAATGTCAACTGGAGGTCATTTTATTCTCCCCTGAGCAGAAGCAGTGTTGTACGGGTGTGTTCCTTGACATTGCTCCAATCTTTGACATGGTTTGGCACCCGGGCCTCCTCTGTAAGCTGAAGGGCATCTTACCCAGTACTTATTCCTAATCTTAAAATCGTACCTGACTAACCGTTAATTTAGAGTTAGACAAGGCATAGCGATTTGTCCTATCTATCCAATCCAAGATGGGGACAAGGGAGCATTCCTGGACCTCTCCTTACACGATATTAACTGTTGACATGCCTATCCTTCCAGAAACCCTCTTCACATTTGTTGGCGATACAGACATCCTTTCCCCGCATAAAGATCCAGTCACCGCATACAGAAACTCGAGGAGGGTCTCGACGTTTGGCACAAAAAGAGAAGAATTAAAATTAACATAACGAAGAGCTAATAAATTAACTTCACACTCAGACGTTTTACAACTGCCAACTGGTTACTTTAACGGGATTTAACTACCACCTGCCAAACAGGTACTTTACTTGGGACTTCTCAAACGAAACGGACTTAACAGACGATCCAAACTTCCACTAACTACAAAAGATTGGTACGTGGTTCCCAAGCCTATGTGTACTTATCATTGATGGAGATTAAGCCCCCTGGGAATTACTTTACTTTTTTACTTTTTATACTGAAGAAAGTTTCACAAATCGTGGAAAGGTAAAAATAAATTATTATGATTTAACAAATATAATGTGATATTACAGTGCACTAAAATTTCACAGCAAAATTTTCTTACCATACTCAACATAACATATTAATGTTATCGATTTGAATAAATGTTTATTAATCTTGGGGCCTTTTATGCTTCAGGTTACGTCAGAAACGCCAGTCGGATAGCCACTAAATATTAAAACCAAATAGAAATCTTTCAGTCCAAAAATAATACGCGCCAAACGTTAGCATGCCCGCATACCGCAGAGTTTGAAAGTACCTATTGGAATGATTACTAAACGAGTAATTTATACGACAAAGGAGATTGTTTCTACTGTGTGAAGTTCTCTTTCGGAGGACGAAGTTTTAAAAGTCGTATCGCCGGGTAGCTGGGGGGAGGATAAAAGAAAGATCGCAAACTCGTATTTCACGTCTAAAGGAGACAAGACTTCTGCATTAACTTTCAGAGTTTCCGGCTTTCGAAAGCAAAGAAAAAAATACATACTTCAACATATCCATCACAAACGAATGCAATTGGGTAACAAACCGGTTAAGACCCAGTTCGCTCCCTGCTCGTAAATAAAATGGTCAGTAAGGGCAAGTTCAATTCAGTCAAGTTGAACGTGATTTAAAATTCAACTCTTTACTAACGCCTTTACTATCTACTATAAAAAAATGGTTATTTTCTAAAACCTAGGACAAAAGGAAAACATATTTAAAATCTCCTGCTTTAGGGACTTCTTTGACAAATTTCTGTTTCAAAAGATGGTATGCATACAAAAAAAATTGAACTTAAGGAAACATGGAATAGTAAAGGGATAAATAAATAAAAGCAAGTTTTTTTTATGATTTTTAAATGACAAAAGTGCATAAATCACATGGCGTAGTTATTGCTCACAGAAGCACAAAAGCGCGATTATTGCCGTCTACATCGTTGCTATAGGAAAAAATAAAACAAATTAACGTAAATGATAACTAATTTAATAAAATAAATATATCGTCAGTACTAGTTGGCGGAGGTTCAGAACCTCCAGGGTTTCCAGAGCCTCCAGCGCCTCCTGAACCTCCCGAGCCTCCTGAGTTTCCAGAACCCCCCGGACCTCTTTGACGTCCATGTCCTCTTCCATGACAGTCCTTATGTACCGACGCTCCATTAGTCGATCCCTAGAATTCAAATTTTCTAATTTTTTGAAAACTAACAAACAGTTTATATTCGTTCCTTTAGGATAATTTTTTTAAATAAAATGGACTACTAATGTTAAAATTTACCGTAAATACAAGGATCAGTACGAACAGAAATGTCAGTACGGACACCTTCATCTCGATGTGAATGAATTTTCCATTGGTTTCCGACAATATTTATACACCATCTGAGAAGGAAGTGTATAATAATTCATCGTATGAACAATTTTTGCTTTTGGGAGGATGGAAGTAATTAGTTTTTGTTCAGGACTGATAACAATATAAAGTGCACAAAGAGCAATCGACGTTTTCGATTTCGTAATAGCCTACAATAAATAACTTCAAAAATAAAATGGAAGTCCCTGAAATTACAATTTTTAACGTTTCTATTGTGTTTTGTGCTATTGGAACTCATTTCAACACATTTAAACCAACGTTGAACCAAAATGGTAAGATTTAAGCTACCGCCGTGTATCTAATCTTACAAAATCAGCTAAAGAAGGTAAAAAATTAAGTGAATCAACAGAAGCTTAATAAATAACACTATCAAAGCATAAAGAATAGGGGACTAGATTAGTTAATTAATTATAGGGAAGGTTCTTCCATTCTACACTTAATCATTCTTGATCTTAAAAAAAATCTTAAAAGAAAAAAAAGAGCCGTGGAAAATAGTTTGATTTAGTGTATTTATTAAATTCACTAATGTCGTGGTCCGCTTGACCAATTAAACATTACAATTAATTAAGGTTTTTAGTTGAGATGAAAAAAAGCTAATGGCACGAGAGGGATTCGAACCCACGACCTTCGGCTAGGTACGCCGCTGCTCTACCACCTGAGCTATCGTGACCTCGATCAACTCGGACATCAACTCTCCATCTCAACCCCACCTTATGAGTTTTCCCTCCTTAAATTAATTAAAAAGACAAAAATTAAAAGAATTTTGATAAAACTGCCAAAAGGTCACTGCCATACTTTTAAGAAAGAAATCGAGAAGACGCATAATTTTTTTATGTTACAACAACGTTATCTATAATTCATTAATTTTCGTGGTCGCTTGACCAATTAATATCTTTCAATTAATTAAGGTTTTTAGTTGAGATAAAAAAGTCAGTGTCACGAGCGGGATTCGAACCCACGATCTTGCTAGATATGGCGCTGCTCTACCACTTGATCTATCGTGACCTCGATCCACTCGGCCACTAACTTCCCATCTCAACCCCACCTTTTGAATTTTCCCTCCTTTTTGCCATTTTTCAAATGTCGTGTAATCTATTATCAATGAAATGGCAACTAGTGAATTTAAGAACTTTTTTAGAAGGTTTATACGCCTTTTTATTATATATAACGATGATTTGTAATTAATTGTAAGTCATATTTGGTTATTCTTGCTAACATTTTTTTAGTGAATAGAGGTTGTGTATTCTTCTACTACTTTAATATTAATTACTTTACAATTGACCGCTGTATGGTTGATTTTATAGTTTTCATACTCGTTATTGCTTTAGCAATAATGGTGTTGTTTAACAATGGGGAGTTTATTAGCTTCAATCGAGTTTTTTAAAACTTCAATTTGCATCAGAAGTTGTTGATTTGGTTTTTGGTTTCATAGGTGTATTATGTATGGCTATCTTGAATTGTTATAGGTCCTTTACTGGAATGAAAGATAACTACAAAATTCTTCTGCATATACGCACCAAAGCGATCAATATGTAATAATTAATAAACGAAAAATAATAAACATTATTATTTATTTCTAGTGTGCCGAGTTTCAAGTGTGCCAGGCCTAAAGGTTTGTTTGTAAACAAAACCCGAATGAGGTCATTATAACATTTGGGTCTATTGTGCGTCGCTCTGGATGACGTGCTCTTTTACCGAGACGCTTGCATGACTCTGAAGAAGCCGTTTACGACACACGTTGCGTGTCGCGACAATTGTCGAACCCCGCCGACGTCGAGAGGTATTGTCGGCCGATCCGTAACGAAGCCGACACATTGCCGAACGGGTGCAGTACTCTCCCACGTCCACACGGTCTCGTTCCTCAAACCGTCTTTTAACATCTGAATCGATTCATTGTCGTATCAGAGGGAAAATCAATCTTCATTTACTCATTGGAAAACCAACTGCGTCAGCTGGATACCAAAAAACAATTGTGCCCCCATTCACAAGAAATATTAACAACAATTAATTAAGGTTTTTAGTTGAGATGAAAAAAAGTTAATAGCACGAGAGGGATTCGAACCCACGCCCTTCGGCTAGATACGCCGCTGCTCTACCACCTGAGCTATCGTGACCTCGATCCACTCAGACATCAACTCCCCATCTCAACCCCTCTCGTGCCATTAACTTTTTTTTTTTCATCTCAACTAAAAACCTTAATTAATTGTAATGTATTAATTGATCAAGCGGGCCACGAAATTAGTGAATTTAATATTAACAACATATCTGACATGATTCTGTTTTCTTCATTGTGCGTTTTTCCTTTGTCATCATCAATATTTGTAAGAATCATTTAATAACCACTTATTTCTTTGCCTTTACTTTAGAAACACTTGCTAGGATTCTTTCCCATGGCAAGAAGGCAAATGTTATTATATTTTTACGATAGATAAGTCTAGATGAATTTACAACAGAAGGGAGATGAGATACAAAAGTGCTGGAGTAGTTATGTATGGTACGTAATAGTTACTTTTCGAGGGCTTATTTGAGGTAGATCTAGGTAGAACTGACCGAATCAAGTTTGTTTTAAACATTTGGAAATAAAAGTTTAGTAAACAAATTAAACTCAACGTCCTTCAAACCGTGTTAAATGTGTGCTAAAACACCATTGGCTACATGCAGTCTTCAACTTTACATATTTCATTTTAATATGAAATAAATACTCTCAACAAAAAATGAGTGTTCTCATCGTAATGTAAGCTTATGATTTATCGTTGGATTAATGTCTTAAGGATAAACGCAACGCTGGAAAGAGAAGGGATTACAATTTCACATGGCCAAAAAAAGAAATTTAAAATTAAAAAACTACTCGTGTAGAAATGTGTGGTGATTAGTGACCGTTAGTCGATGATTATTTGGAAATCGTGAGATGTGGTCTGGTGTGACGTGGGTTTCAGAAAAACGTTTTCTTTATCGTGCCAACGTTTCGATCTTTATTGAGATCATCTTCAGGGCCTGGGATTTACAAACATTGTTTAAATTTAACAAATACGCGCAAATAGTGCACGCAGAAAACACTTTAGGTTAGTAGAAATACTTTGATTGAATATAAAAAATATTTTTCATTGTATAAATTCACTTTTTTCCACATCCTACATGTGTTTGTTAAATTTAAACAACCGGCATAAAGAAAATGCTTTTCTAAAACCTACATCACACCAGACAGCATCTCACGATTTCCGAATAATTAAAAACTTCATTTTCACTCCTTAGAGGGGAGAATGTGACCAAAGCACGGCCTTTACGTAACTAATAATCTTAAGCGGCCACTTGCACCTCGCTGGCGCACGAGGGGGAAATCGGCCTTTTTAAAAAGTCATCAGGGGCTGATCGCCGTGAACTTGAGACTTTGAAAAGTGAAGGTGTTACACTTGCGTAACGATGCGTTCGCCGGGTGAAAAAAAGCGGGCAATGTCGGGTCCGGGTCACTCAACCGGAGAAACCATGTGCAGATGGAAAACGTGTCAAAGTAAGAACCCACACACGTTTCAGTTAATCTGGGCATAAAAAACTGTTAGGTGTCGAAAACCTGACGTTTAAACCTTATTTCTAATAAACCTTGCCAAATTTCTATGGGTAACCTTTCAATAATTCATCGTTTTAGCCTCTCTTATAAACCAAAAAATTTGTCCTCACTATTAATTTCTATTAGTTGCAGTGTTTACCATAATGATTTGATTGACCGCTAAAAGAATCCTTATTATTAAATTAATTAATCTTTATGAAAGGTATTGGTTAAGATAAAAAAGCCAGGTCACGAGCGGGATTCGAACATGACCTTCGTCGAAATACGCTGCTGCTCTACTACTTGAAGTGTCGCGTATTTAGCCGAAGGTCGTGGGTTCGAATCCCACTCGTGACACTGGCTTTTTATCTCAATCTATAACTTTCATAAAGATTAATTAATTGAAAAAGGTTATATGGTCAATCGGACCACGAAATCTAATGTACTTATTATTAAAGATAATTGAGTCACGTTTTGTCAGACTCTCTGATTTTAGGTTTATAAGTAGGGTGAGGTAAGAAGTTGTACTATTCCAGTTCTGTTAATTTTAGTAACCGAAACTGAAATATGGAAATGACTGTCTGGCGGCAACGGTAATTTATCAAAGCAGGGTTTATCTGGCCTTCTACGGATCAGAATTTACAAAATCTTGCTAGTAGATAAATTTAATCTTAGGTGAAGAGTTGTCTTCGATGCATGGCTGTTTTACCGAAGCCTGAAGTTGTTAGAAGATGTAAATGCGACTTCGTGAGAGAGTAAGGACCCAGATCCTCATAAACACCTTTTGTGCTGTAACAAAATTATAGTACACGATCGTGATCTTTCGTCAGGCAGCGTAACGCCAGGGGTATAAGCAAGGTGAGGCAAGAAGCTGAACTATTCTAGCTCTTCAAAGTTTAGCCATCAAGGTCATTTGTTTTTCACTGAAGATGGCGCAAAGCCGAAACGCCTTTTCGTAATAAGCGACCCAGTGCCTGTTCAGCATGATTCACGGACTCGCAGACCAACACTCAACATCAATTCTAATACTAAAATAGTTAATACACATTCCCTACAAGTAGACCTCAATAATTTAAGCAAAGTTAATTACTTAAGTTAACTGTGATGTTTGTTGAAGTTAAAGCTTAGGATTCATTAATTAAATTACATAGGAGCCATCATCTTTATGATCTGTGTACCCCGACAAGTATTGGCCAACTGTGCATCTCCATTTTTTTAACTAGAGCACCTCGTTAAGCTAGGGGCTTTTTACCAGACCCCAAGCACAAGGGCACCCGTGTATATCCACAAGCCTTGCCTTTTCCTCTTCACCAAACATTTATAATTTTGTTAAAGTATGTCATTAGCTAACATTGAAGATGAAGAGCTAGCCACACTTTCCTGTTCGGATCTTACTCAAATGTAAGAGCTAATTATTATTTCCGTAACCTTGTTGTCCAATGC